GAGAGAGAGGGAGAGGGAGAGAGAGAGAGAGAGTCTCGTCGCATCTCTATGATAACGTTACAAGTCTCAAAGTTTATAACGTAGAGCAGGACTGTTGGCAGAGCGACGAGCGGAGATATCGTGCGAATTATGTCTCCCTCGAGCGTAATAATCGTCGCATTCAATTCGATAATTTAATTCAAAGGATAGATCGAAATGATTATTATTTTTGTTGCAAAGAAGTCTCTTGAATTATGGTGGACTCATAAAGGTAATCGTATACTTCGAAGTAAATCTAACTTCGTTTTTCGAATGTGCTTCTGCATTCATTCATTGGATTTAGAAAAATCGATGAAAAAATTGAATTGATATAATCGCAACAGTATCGATTAGTAACTATTTGTAATAAATTCATATTGGAATATAGTTAGTTCTTTTCGGTCTATTTGAAATTTCGTGACACGTAATCAAAAATGGTCGGCCGGTCGATAACAAAAGTAACATATTATTTTTCTTACCCATCTATAACTCTTTACGATGCATAAGTATAGAAAAGGATATGTGTCAGGTTTAAAATGGTTTATAATCGATCTTTGTCGAGTTTCTTTAATTCTAAAATGAAATTCAACGATAGAAATCAAATAACATATTTTTTAAATTCCAATTTAAAGTTCCTTAAAATAAAATAAGATTAAGATAGATTTATAGGAATTTATCATTATCACTGACACTAATACGATAGGTACATTATGTTATTTTAATTCGAGAGAGGGAGAGAGAAAGAGAGAGAGAGAGGGAGAGAGAGAGAGAAGAATAAGAGACACGAGAGTGGAACGAATCGGTCGTGGTGTCGAATCACAGAATAAGAATAAGGAGTGTAGAATGGTCGGAAAGGGAGATGGTAAGGGTTCCAGCGGCTCGGTAATAACGTTACAAGTCGGAAGTTGGGGAAAGTAAGTTTGTAACGTGCCAGAGAGAGATAGAGACAGAGAAAGCTCGAGCCGAGCGACAACGATCCAAGATATCGTGGGAATTATGATCCCCTGGAGATACGATCCGGCCTCCGAAATGGGACTAGAAATGGTTTCTACCGTAACTTTCGCGACATCTGCCTTCAGACTTTCGTGACTAAATAATTCAGACAACTTCCGATAACGTTACTTCCTTCGAACTATCCTGGCAACGTGTAAACCCTCTTTCTCCCTTTTCCCTTTCATGCTGAAAAAAAGAAAAATAAGAAAAAGGAAGAAACTAGCCAATAGAACGTTCTCTTCTTCTACGTTAGCTCGTCCAATTACGTCGAGCAACGAAGATCGGTCAGTTCTCTCTCGAACCTCTTTCATGTCACGTTCTTCTCTTATCTACCAAATTTATTTCCGATGAATCATCTCCTCTTCTTTCTCTTTTTGAAGAAGGGATAGGAAAATAGAGAAAGAGAGGGAGAAAGAGAGACAGACAGACAGACAGACAGATAGACAGAGAGAAAGAGAGAGAGAAGTCGAGATAATCGGAACCATTACGTTCGACGTTCGACTATTACCACGATGTGTTCCTATAATAATACCTCTAGATAGTTTTCCTGATAACCTTAACGGCGTTTCTCTCAGTTCTGTTTGAAGACAAATAGTATGTTAGTCGTTCTCTTCCTCTCTCTCTCTCTCTCTCTCTCTCTCTCATATTTTCCTATACATATGTGAAAAATTTATCTGACTCTCTGAGTTTCTCCTTTTTCTATTTTCGAAGAAAGGAAGTAGACTGATTTATCGATATAAAACTTCATTTTTCAGTCAATTAACATCTATTATTGGTTAGCTTTAACACTTCTTAAATATCATTTTACCCTATTGCAGTCATATGTATATATATATACATATATATATATATGATTATTACATTATATATATATGTATATATATATATATATATATATATATATATATATATATAAATATATAATGTTGCAACAGTAATTGGGTTGCATTTAATACAAATCCGCGCTTCGAAAATTGTCATAAAAGTCCGCGAGAGCAAAAAAAGAATGCGAGCTTCACCGGCCTATATAACTTTTCAAAAACTTGATGCTTCAGGCGAGTGCGAGCGACCGCTATTACTTTTTCAGTACACCCGAGTTTTCTCTTCTCCTGTTGTCATCGTGGTAGTAATAATAGTAATAGTAATAGTAGTAGTAGTAGTAGTAGTAATAGTAGTAGTAGTAGTAGCAGCAGTAGTAGTAGTAGTAGCAGCAGCAATAGTAATAGTGATAGTAGTAGTAGTAGTAGTAGTAGTAGTAGTAGTAGTAGTAATAGTAGTAGTAGTAGTTACCGTACGCGACATAAAAGCGAAATCCAAGTTATTTGCTCGTATTTCTCTCCTGATCCATATTTTTTTCTTTTTCTATTACTAACAGACAGGTCGATTCCCAAAAGTAATAAGTTTTCTTGAAATTTGTTTGTATAATTACATGTAACTTGTTGTATTTCTTGTATGTGTTGGTTTATTGCATTTTTTGTGTTGTGAGCTTGGTAGTTGAAATGAGTTTGCCGAGGATTTCTGGAAAGAGGAAGCAAAAGTAAAATGAAAAATCTAAAAAAAGAGAAATTCAAAAAAAGAGACTAAACGTGATTTTTAGAAAATGGAAATGGATAATTGGGCCTGTTCCAGTTGTAATAATTCTTAACAATAGATAATTCTTATCATATAGATAATTTTAATAATAATAATGATAATAATTATGATTATTTATAATTTTTCTCTTTTTTTCTTTTTTTGAATAAATCGATACGATTCTAAAAATATAACGATCATTCAATCGAGTCGATCCTTTTTCAATACTATATTATCGATATTGATAAGAGAAAGTAAGAAGTTTCTTATAATGTCGAGGAATCAATAATTTCAATTACAAAAATTATTAAGCTATGTAGACGAGTCACGTAAGCATGATAACATTATCAGACGTTATCTCTAATGAATCAAACGATCATCATGGTAATACTTTCGTGGGAATTTCCAACTAGAAACAGACGAACGGGTCACGAAAGGGAACTAAAGTACATACCATATTTAATTCCGTACCTGTGGAACCCTTATCTTAAACATCTCCATTATCGCGGTGAAGTTAATGAGGTTGATTTTCAAGTTGATTAGCTATTTTGAAAGGGAATCTCAAGTAAATTATTAAATATGCTCGGTCTATCCTCTTAGATAGTTTTTTCAAGAGTCTAAAAAGTTGAACATCACATTGAAAGAGTAAGCTTAATAAGAAAGAATAAACTCAATGTAAACCTGATTCTTTCTATCTATATGTAGCTTGAAAGAGAAAAAAGAAAAGAGAAAAGAAAGAGAGAGGAGAGAGAGAGAGAGAAAGACAATCACGAGAGTAACGAATTAATTCCATCGGCCTATAGCTTCGTTCGATAACATGAAAACATCGATATCTCCGTGGCGAGGGATCGTCGAGGGTTGAGGGTGGTAAACGGGGTGCAACGTACGGGGTGTCCGACGCGCTTAAAATTGATGGTTAATTCAAAACCGCCGCAGGGCTGCGACTGAATTTGACCGAAGCAAATAACGGCTACCAGGTTGATTCGCGGGCTGCAGCTGTAAACACGAATAATGGAGAGTACCGATTGGTAAATTGTGTGTCCCGATTCGTCCGAGTGAACGAGCTTGGTGTGTGTTCGTGTCTGTGTTTGTGTGTGAAAGAGAGAGAGAGAGAGAGAGAGAGATGTTTCTCTCCTTTTATTCTATAACTCCTATTGCATTTCTCCCTCTATTCGTTAATACTCTCACTCGAGATCACCACTTTTCCTTCAGTGCTACTCATCGTACATACGAGAGACGATGTTTGGACTTGTTTGAGATATTCCATGCCGGTACTTTGATCCTGAAGAGTAAACTATGTGTTTAATCACGAAATAAAGTTTTCTTTGCGAGAGAAATTGGACGAATGATATATGAATATTTTATTTTATTAAAAAGGATTACATGTTGTTCTTTGTACAAGCTTTATGCATGGTTAAATTATGACATATAAATAAATATATAAATTTTATACAAAGTGATATCGTGGCTTATTTCACGAAGTGACAAAGTGACATTGCGAGTTATGTCACAAAATGACAAAGTGACGTTATATAGATATGAATCTAAATATTTATTTGTTTTCATTTTATTTTTTATCTTATTTATTTTGCATTGTAATTCGTACAGTCTGTGTATCGTATATTCAATTTATGTATCGTATTTAATTTTTGATATTGCATATTCTTTTTCTCATATATCAATTTTATTCTTTTCTTATGTATACTTATGTTGATGCTTCAATAAACATAACTTTCATAGAACATAACGTTCCCGTATCTTTTCTTTTTCTTCTTATATTTTTTTTTAAACGTCATTGTACTCGCATGACACTCAAGCAAGGTACGATGTCGTTGTAACACCAATTCCTCGCGTGTTCGCGAATGTAACATTCATGAACGGATCTACGTGAAACGAAGTGCCACTATTTGGTTGCGTCCACTAGTTTCATCGTTGTGAAAGGAGTTTTACGGAGCAATAGTAAAAGTACTCGTAGTGGTTAGGCAACAAACATGAGTCGTGTAGAAAATGGTCGATAGAAAGACTTAAAATTAGAAAGAGAGAAAAAAGGAGAAAGAAAGAAAACACGTAGAATGTTAAAGCATCGATTTTCTGGACATCAAATGTTTTTTATTTCTTTCTCTCTCTCTCTCTCTCTCTCTCTCTCTCTTTTTCTCTGACTCTGTCTATTTATTTTTCGTTTATACGCAGAATTAATTTCAACGTTATCAAATTTTGTTAAATATCCTATAAACTAAGGAAATTTATTAGTTGTAAATACATGTGCAAATTAATTATAAAAACTACGTAATAAAAAAAATCAGCCTCGTCGAATAAAATTTTGGTTATTTTGTTTATTCGTGATTTTATCGATTAAATATGTATTAATGTTTTGGATTAAAGAAATGTTAATCATCTATATTCTGGTTTGATTTCAGGTATAGGGATAATATGAAAAAGCTTTCAAAGGCTTTCAGAGATCGACCAGAGAGTCCATTGGAGACAGCTATATGGTGGATCGAATATGTCGGAAGAGGAAATGGTTTAGCATATATTCGCAGCGACGTAGCGGAACAGCCTTGGTATCAGCGTAATCTTCTAGACGTTATTTTCTTTTTAGTCTGTTTCTCTCTATTCGTTTTCTATATCATTTATCGACTGATTTGCTTCTTTAACAAAGGAACCAAGGCAAAAATTGATAAACAAAGATCGAAGAAAGAAAATTGAAATAATAAAATAAAATTCATCGAATATTTGTTTTTATAATGTATAAGACATTATGATAAATATTACTATGATGCATAATACCTATACATAAATATTTATAATTTAAAGAATATTTAAATAAATAAACATATAGGATAACGATCTTTTGAATGATCATCTTTAACTTTATAATCATTTCCAACGTAACCTAATTATTTTACTGCGATCTATTAGATTTCATAAACGCGTCAAATTGTTGCTCTGTCTGTGATACATAATAGTAGTAGCCATTGCTTTATTCGACGAATCAAGAAGGTCTTTCATTCTTTCGTCGTATGTACGTTACACTACTATTGCGAGTGAGTACTGGCATTCATGGCGGTCGAGAGATAGCGAGTAACGAATGAACCAGGTATGAGAGGAACGAAGAAATGTATAAAAGAAAAAAGGGAGAAAGAGTGAGAGAAAGAGAGAGAAAGAGAAAGAGAGAGAGAGAGAGAGAGATAGAAAGAGAAACGAAAGAAAGGTAGTATAGAAAGAGATAAAGTGTGAAAACGGGCTCAAACGGATGAAGAAAGATAAAAGAGAGAGGATGAGATTGAAGTTGAAAGGGAGAGAGAGAGGGAGAATAGGAGGTATAGAAAGAAAGAAAGAGAGAGAGAGAGAAAATGAGAGAGAGAGAGGAGAGATAGAGAGAAGTATGAGAGAGAGCCAGCTTTATGGGCATTACGAGGTATTTCCCAGGTGGCCGAGTTTCCGGCTGTTCCGAGAGGTGCAGCCTTCTACTCAGTTGCAGAAGCAACAATAACAAGGAGCTCGGTGCCGCGAGATCCGAGACTGTTACGAACATTTTCAATGGCTGCGTCTGCAATGGCGTAGGTAGCTGAAGACAACTTGGATGGATATGAGAACGACGGCGATAGAGCAGAATAGAAGAAGATGTGATGAAAAGAAGAATTGGAGACTTTAAAGACGGCGACGTATGTTTTTTGTTCCTTTTCTCTCTTTCTCTCTCTCTCTCTCTCTCTCTCTTCGTCTCTCTCTTTTTTATTTTTTCCTTTTTCTTTACTTGAAAGAACAAGAAAGATGGATCGCGTCAAGCTTTGCGAGATTAAACGCGATTCCGTGAGTCTCGATACAGTGGCGCCGGCTTGGCACTTTCTATTCGGGCTTGGCTTCTCTATTTCTCTTTTTTTCCCTGTTCTTTCCCTTTCTTTTTTGTCTCTCTCTCTCTCTCTTCCCCTCTCACTATTTCTCTCTTTCTTGAACTATTTTGTATCTTTATTCGGTACCTACCTTCGTCCCATCGATCATATTCAGCCTACCACGCAACATTTCTCTCCAAGCCATGAGAAACACGATACGGTGTCTCGTAAATATCTAAACTCCGAGAATGTGAATTTTGTGGTGATTCGAGTATTTTTCCCTCTCTTTTCGAGAGAGAGAGAGAGAGAAAGAAAGAGAGAGAGAGAAAGAGAAAGAGAGGGAGGGAGAGAGAGAGAGTAAAAGAAAGAAAGAGTGAAAAAAGATGAAAAAGGTTTAGATATTAATTACATTTCTCCTAACAATATTTTTGAATCGATCTAAATAAAATAAAAGAAACGAGTTGACTATTTTTGTTGTTATTGTTATACAGAAAACACGCGAGTATTAATTGTTATGATAGGATTTTTATTTCTATTTTTAGGAAAAAAGAAAAGAGAGACTTATCTTTCGGTGATCAAATGTTAAATATATCATTCGTTAAATTCTCTTTGTTCGGTATATATCATTTGTATTGTAAATATAATATTTATTACACCTTGTATATAAAACACGATGATGCTACGTTATATCACGTTGTAACTCGATCGTATAAATATGTTCATATAGAGGAATTTTTTCAAGTTTTTAATAGTAAAATCTTGTTAGTGTATCCTATGGGTTTAAATAAGAAAAAAATGTTTGAAACTTTATTAAGAGGTTATGAGACAAATTCAAATTACAAAGGGAACAATAATGGATTTACAATTATTGCTATACAATTTCTATGCGGATAAACATATATATATTCTTCTCTGTATTCATGTTTTCATCTATCTGTAGATTAGCAAAGATCAAAGAGTCAATCATGATTTGTTTAGATAACATTTGATGAGTTACGAAACAGGTTACCGTAATTCATTGCTATTAATTAAAATCGATTCCTCTCAATTATTTTATATATATAGAGCAACATTTGTTAAAGTATTTGTTGTTATTATTTATATTATATCTTCTTTGTTGTTCGTGTCCTGAAGTATGTTTCCAATTTTGTTTTACTTTCTATTTTCTCTCTCTTTCTCTCTCTCTCTCTCTTTCTCTCTTTCTCTCTCTCTCTTTTTTTATTATTCGACACAGGAAATTTAGATTTACCGATGCGAGTTCATACTGCGGCTTGAAAAATTATATGAGAGAGGTAACGTGGTATCATCGTGGTGAACGAGAGAGAGTGATTGGCAACATTTTCGAACGAACGCAAAGGGGTTGTCACGGGGATACACGATACTATTTTGCGCTCGCTTTAACTTCGTTGATTGAATCATGAACGCGGTTTACTCTCGTATCGTTCGTATTCGTTCCTACCCCTTGGGGCGTTGGGTGATGGTCCAAAGAGGGTGATCAAACAGGCCTGGGATTTAACCACTGGCTGAGCTTACATATGCGCATTACTTCCATTCATAGCATACGTTTTGATGGAAAAGATCATTGATAGAAAGGCTCATTAAAGTGAAGGCTTTTGGATTAAATAAAAGAAAAGAGAGAGAAAGAGAGATGAGGCCAATTTTTGTTCATCCGTTGAATGTAAAAATTAAATAATCCCTCGCATTACGTGGGAAATTGAAATCTTTCTTGCGTGGAAGAGTATATACGAATAGAATAAAAAGCTATTTGATAATTACATGCTCGAAATAATTCTCTGTAAACGTTAGTTTGTGTTAAAGTCTCGTGAACACGGATGATATTGAAATAAAAGAAAGAGAGAGTGAGGGAAAGAGAGAAAGGACATAACAAATTAAATTGTATAGTTTGTTATTTTGCAAGAGAATACGATGTCAGAGTAAGCAAGTTAATTATAATATGATTATAATATCTCAGGGCATAGAAAGAGAAATAATGAATGAAGTAGATCAATGACGTTACTCACGTTATGCGATTGTTTTCATTAAGATTGATCGATGGAACATTGAAAAATTAACGTTGATTTTCATGGCTTCCAGAGATAAAGATTATCGAAGTTTTTCGATTTTTATATTTTCGTTTGCTCCTCCTACAAAAAAAGAGAAAGAAAGAGAGAGAGAGAGAGTGAGAGAGAGAGAGAGAGAGAGAGAGAGTGAGAGAGAGAGAGAGAGAGAGAGAGAGAGTGACAGAGAGAGAAAGCTCAAATGCGATCATAGGAAATAAATGCAAGCATTCAATAAAGTCAATTAAGCTCCTGAATATTCACAGAGAATATCCTTTGTCCTTCCCTTAGTAAGAAGGTTAATAGATAAACAGTTCGAAAGGGAGAAAAAGAGCGTTAGATATAATTAAATATTCCTTGGTTAAAATGAAATGCAACAGGATAAATAATAGAATCTCAAGGCAATTATAATTAAAGAATAGTTTCAGTCGAGATTAGCCAGAGATTTTTTGTTATTTACTTTCATTGAATTAAAGCATGATGATTGTGAATGTCCAGCGAATTGAAATCTTATAATTAAGTATTACTATGTTCTCTACGTACGTAACTTTATTCGCATTTTTGTTCTTTATCGAGTCGTCGTTTGGCTTCTCCACGAGTTGGCTTTGAAACATAAATCTCACTGGCATTTAGAAAATATTAACGATACAGTTTGCCATTTGAATAGAGGAATATTTTTCTCTTTTACGATTTCCTTTATTGCCGTTCCATTTATTTCCGACCTTCTACCGTTTCTAGGCATCTATGAACTTTCGAACATATCACCGAAATACTCTTTGATTTAAACAAAGTGGAAGAAAAGAGAGGAAATTCCAGTAGAAAGACCAAGACAGTTGAAAACTTTAACGAATATATGCGTGTCATGGAATATTCATTTCCTTTTGTGTATCCTTTTAATTTTAATATTCCTTTACACCATTTATTTCTTTATCAAAACTTGTTTTATGTCGAATTAAATTCGAATTAAATGTTTCCCTCGTTCGTATTTTCATATTATTTACAAATGGATACAATATCTGAATTCTGACACGATAATCCCAGTCGATGGAAAATAAACAAATAAAATAGGAAACATCGTGTATACAGATTGCTGATTGAAAATTCAAAGAGTTCTTTCGTTCATAGAAATACCCAAGGATCTTAGCGTGTTACCCTTGATGCTTGTTTTCTTAAGGTCACCGAGAGATGGCCTTGCAGTGTAAATTCGAACACGTGTCCAATCTTTCCGATAGCGATCGTTTAAATTCGAAGAAAATAATTTTCCCGATATTAATCACGAATAATTCATCGATTAAAACGTAAATTTCCAATGATATTCTCTTCTAAATTTCTCATTCGTGAACGAGAAAGAGGCAACAGGTGATCGATTTAAATCTCTACAAGCAACCCTTTCATCTAAGCCCTCTTCTAATTAGTATGGAGTATCTGACGATCATTTAACGCGATATGAAGGAGGAAGAAATACGTGGATCGTTTTGCGAGGAAACGTCGTGCGAAAGGTCGCCGTTTGGATTAACCGGCGAAAGGGCAACAGGTGCTTTCTGACGAAAGAGAATATCCTCTCTACGACGAATCGTTTAGTCGGTCTCCACCTGCTCTCTCCTACCCTCTTCCGTTTTTCCTTCTCTTTTTCTCTCTCTCTCTCTCTCTCTCTCTCTTTCTTTCTTTCTTTCTTTTTTTCTCCTTTTTCTCTCTTTATCGACATATACGAGTACCTTTCTACTTTCATAAAGTCATAGTGCTTTTGACGCTTTTATCGAATTTTCATCATCGAATCTTCATTTTTGATATTAATTCTCATTTGTTTTTCTTTTTTTCTTCTGTTTTTTATATCATAGAATTTATTCAAAAAATGATCGCAGATAAATTAATGTTTATAATTTGAAATCTGAACAAACTTTCTTTTAATTGCTTTACCACGATCGAAGTAAGTCGGAGTTGGATATATAAACTGTTTAAGTCTTTCTTAAGTCTTCTTAAATATTAAAAGATGGACGAATATCTT